CCTCCCCTACCATGGACAGGCCAAGGCCTATCTGTGACAGACACTAGGCCAGACAGGGCCATGCCCAGGGCTGACTTTTCTTGAGTTTCCACACACTCTGGTCTTGTCTGATGTGTGGAGAGAACTTCTTCACCCACAGCTTCCTGTCTCGCTCTCTGAAAAAGCTTCTTGGGAGAGTCGAGCTTCCTGTTAGCAGACATTTGTATTCTAGAGAGCTTGCTCACACCTGAGCACTCAGCCTGAGGCCTCCTGGAGTACAAGAAGCTAGCCCCTAGGAAGAGCGGGCGGGTATAATTTTCACCTATTAAACTACGGAACAACAGCCACTTCCCATCTACCATCACAGAGCTAAGGGACTCCTAAGTGGCAGCCATTGTGGGGCAGGGGATTATTGATGAGGGAACACACAGTGGGGCGGGGCAAGCGTCTGGCCATGAGGGAATGTAGGGAGGGGCTTCTGAGGCCACCAATGCTCAAGAGTCACAGACACAGGTCAAGAGCAGAAAGGTCATTTCAGGCCGATGCCTTGGGGAAGGACACTCAACACACCTGCAAACACTTGGTACAGCTGGGGTAGACGTGGGTGTCAAAGAAATGTTCAGGCTGAGGTCCCGGAGACAGAATAGCTAAGGAGTAGTCGACCCTGAAGCAGCAAGATCCCTGGCCTGGGGAAGAGGGGTGATGAGGGCAGCCTTGAAGCCCAGTGTGACCACTCTGTAAGGTCACAGGACAGAACAAGAAACACACAAGCCTTGGAAGTGAGTGTGGTGCAGTGCTGGCCCTGGGGCCTGTGGGCTGGACTACACATTCACAGAACGGGGAGGCTCTTGGACCCTGACTTTTTACACCAACTCCATCTCTGAGATTTGGGAGAGCTGACAGAAAGGACAGCAGTATCCACTAGAGCCCTCTCCCCAGCTGTGTTCACTCCCAGGGGCAAGGCAGGATGACCAGAGTCTGACAACTCAGGATGCAGAAGAGACAGGCCATACACAAGCCCCCAGCACAGTCAGGAGGAACAAGGCGGTCCCCGCAAGCTCATTAGATCAGCCAGCACAGCCCTTCCCAGGGCCCAGAGTGCCCAGAAGCAAACTAGCAGGTGGGAGGAGACTGCTGGGACCCCCCCCAACCTCTGCAGGAGGTAGCTCCAGGCCAAGAAGCACTGATAGGAAATGGAGCAGCATGTGAAGGTGGGGATGGAACCGGAGTGACCTCAGCAGAAAGAAAATGAAAACTGCAGACTCTGTTTCCATCACGGTATCTATCCTACAGATCCCTTGCACACATCAGACACATGCATGAGGGGAGCCACCCGCAGCTGACTTCTGAAGTCAGGTTCATCGTGAAGAACTAGCCAGCCTGTTCTGTTGAGGACCACACTGAATGGCCGGCCTGCTGACTGCCACTGAGTTCCTGGCGGCCACAGGCTCCCTGGCCTCTTCTCCCAGCGCTTTCTTGCTTTGCAACCAGAGATCAAAGCTTCCACCCGGAACTTGTCCTTCAGCCTGCGGCAGTGCGGCTAAACTCTGGGAAGGTCAGGGGTCACTCGGGAGACGAGCTCCTCGCTTGCACATGCAGCCTTCTTCCAGCCTTCTAGTTTCCAACAGGCCCCAGCTGTGTGAGACAGGGGGCCGCTCTTGTTGCCAGGACTCTAACCTGGCCTGTGGTGCTACAGACAATGCACCCGGTGCCACATGCTTTGGACAAGTGGCCCAGGCAGGCTCAGAGATGGGAATTGCTTTGCCAACAAGTGGGCACCTACTCATGTCACCCATCCCTGCCACAGGCGGCACGCATGGGGGTGGGGGACAGTGTGCCCTCACTTCCCCCTTGGAGAGCGTGCAAAGATGAAAATGGTGCTTGGTGGTCAACTCAAGGTCATCAAGAAGAGGACCTACACAATGTCACTTGTCTTCAAAGACTCCTCCCGTTGTGGCAGGCCTTATCTTGCTTCCTCCTGGCCCTCACCCTAACTGGAGCCATGTTCCTTTCTCTTCTACTCACGTGCTTTCCTCACACCATTCCTGAGCACACATATGTGATGGGGGAAGTCCTGTACATTTGTTAATAAAGCACTGTTGAGCCAATAGGAATCTAGCTAGGTGGGACTAGGAGTCCAGGAGGATTCTGGGAAGGAGAAACACAAGGAGATTCGAGATGTAACCGCCATGGGGTAGGAAGCCCGGAACTATTCTCCGGTAAGAAACATACTTAGATTAACAATTATGGGGTAATTACTTAAGTCAGAGCTAGCCAGTAAGAAACAAGCAAGGCCAACAGCTTCATAATTAATACAGCGTCTTGTGTGTTTATTTGGGGACTACAATGCGGCAGAGCCCAGGCGGCTGGCGGGGGATAAACCAAAGCAGCTAGCAAAGAAAAAGCTTCTCTTTACACATATGCACACACTCGAGCTCAGTCCATGAGGCATGTGCTGTATCTACCTGGTCTGTCTCATTTATTGTGGTTTCTGCAATGTTCTTTTGATTCCCGGCACACAGCGGGTACCCAAATAGGACTTGCTGAATGAATGAGTGAATGACTCCAGTCCTCACTTGATAGCTGACTACTAATCAGCCGGAGAGATTGACAAATGGGGTAGAGTTGACCTGGGGTTGGAGTTCAGAAGGTGTAGAGAAAGGAGATGTGGACACCATCCACATATTCATGCGGGGCAGGGCCTCACGGGGTGATGACCTCATTCTTTCTTCGGTCCATCCCAAGAGGAGCAGCTTCACACTCATTACACGAGACCAAGGAAGCCAGCCACTCCAGCTTTACAACTGCAGCCCACGTGGGAGGCACAGAGACAAACCAGCATATAGAATCCCTACGTGAGCTGGGAAGGTAGAGATGGGCACCACTCTGCCCCAAGTAAGGTCTTGAAAAGAAGCCCGGCGGACAGGACAAAGGCCTCTAGGACTGGGAACCCATCCTCAAGTTCAGAGAACAGACCCCTCGGGGCTTTGGCATCCACACTCATGAACAGAACCAGCGGTCCTGACCCCAAGCACGCAGAGTTGCTGAAACTATCTCCTAAGGATCACAAAGAATTACCCAGTTGAAGATGTCAATGATACTGTAGCTGAGAAACTGTAAAGATAATGGGTACAAAAGCTCTTTTCACAACTCTAGAAAACATTTCTTGGTGTTGTTTGCATATTTTTGAGGCAGCATCTCACAATCATCTCCTTCAGTCCCCCAAGTATTAGGGTGGGGGGGTGTGGCCCCTGTAACAGAAAATATACTAAGAAATACCTTTTTTGCTTACTTGTTCATTTGACTTGAGACAGCCTCATATATCCTATCTGGCCACAAAGTCACTATGTAATCAAAAATGACCTTGAACTCGTGGTTCTTCTGCCTCCAGCTTACAAGTGCTGAGGGTACAAGTATGTACCACTAGGTTCTGCTAATAAACACATTTCTAAAACTCAACACGCACCAAACCTTGAGGTAGAACACCACCTGTCACACCTCAGGGCTCGGATCCTGGGCTGCTGAGTGGTAGGGTTTGGGTCTTCTTTCCACTGTAGGGGGTGGGGGGTGGGTAGGGGGGAGTGCCTGCAACCAGCCAAAGGCATTAAATGGTGTTCCTTCCCTCAGCAGAAAGAGCAGTGCCCAGTCCCTACCATTTGGCTCGGTCTAAATAAACAATGGGCAGATTGTGTGGCCATCTCCACCACGGGAGTACTGGCCTTGTGACCCAGACTTGCAGTCATCTTGAGGCTGGCCTCATGGTCACCCCAGCACTGAGTCTGCTGGGACTGGGATGGGCCCAGTTTTGAGTTCCTTGGCTTCTGCCAGCCTATGTTTCATCAGTGCCTGGCACAGCTGGATCAGAAGCAATGCAAAGAAGTGATCTTTTCCTAGGAGACCCTGAGCTGAGGGGAAGGGAAGGAGTGTCCACTGGCTACTGTCCAAAGTAAGCCCCTCGTGCATATGTGAAAAGGATACAAGCTACAACCCTGGCCCTGCTGCTGCCTAAACAACCTGGGCAGGTGACAGTTTCCTTAGACTTTGGCTTTCTTGCCTGAAAAATGCATGACTAAATTTCATTATCTAGAGGACTGAGATGAGGAACAGCTAGTAAGATACGAGCCAAGACCCAGGCAGTGTGCCCACACTGTACCTGATTAGCCCAAGGCAGCCTCTGCAGGAGATCTGCTGTGACAATACAAAATCTTCGCTGGGTCTCATGCTCTGACTCTGAGCCCAGAGGCCCACGTACAAATCAACAGAAGCCCAACTTAGACGGTTACACAACTTCTTGCAGGGTTAGATGTTGCCTTCCTAATTGGGCTAGAAGGCCAAGAACAAGGAAACCTTTGTCCCCTGCCTTCCCCTCCATCCTCCAGCCAGACACAGACCCTCTGCTAGTGGCTGCTCGGCACTGAAAGCTGCCGGGTTTGACTCCGTGCTTGGGGAGGCATCACTTCTGTACTTTGGGGGGGGGTGGATGGGCTTGGGGGATGTCACAAGTACCATTCAACATGTTCCCTCTGTAGCAGGAAGGATGACTGGACTGGCTGGTGAGGGGCAGAGCTAAGGACAATAGCCAAATCCCTCTGACCACCTCCTCTGCCTGACCCTGCCTCTCGGGCTAAGCAAGCCCACATTTCTAAGGCCCTCACAGGCCTGCCTCCCACTAAGGGACACTTTCATAATCTCTGCCTCGATGACTCCAATTACAATAGAGAACTCTTAAGTCGGCTGGGGCCACAGATAAGGCTAGGAGCAAAGTGCTACTGTCACTGTAGTAACTGCGTTACCAGAAGCACCACTGAGTACTTCAAGGTGCCACAAGGTCTGCATATACTGCTATACACCAGCAAGGAAAGTGTGTGCGCGTACACGTACACACACACACACACACACACACACACACACACCGGCACACACAGCACTCATCCTAGGCCAGGCACAGTCTTAAACACATAAGCATATATTAACTTGTTTAATGCTAACAAAAACTTTACGGGCTATTTTAATTTTTAAAGGGAAATAAGAGTCCTGGGCTGAGCTCAGTCCCCCGCCTGCAGGGAGAACCTACTGAGAGCATTACCATCTTCTCGTCTCCCTGCCATAAGCAACCATCAGGGACTAACTGCTCCAGCATCTGAGGTCCTGAATACCCAAGAGATCCTCAGGCAGCTAGCAGGAAGAGCCCTGAACACCATGCTGTCTGCCAGCCACCAGAGGTTGGCAATTCCACTATTTAGAAGCAAGCTGTAACCCCCTGCCTGAGTCCAGACCCACCTGCTTCCTGTCTCCTGGGGATGACTAAACAGCTCTTGGTACCTGATGGAGAACTAAGGAACCAACATGGGGGGGGAAGGGGGATATGAATTGCCTTCCTGGATCCTTGGGGCAATTAAAGTGCTCTTGCCCCAGACTCCCTTTATATACTGAAGACCTACAGGATGTAGCAAACAGTGGCCTTTGTCTTGTGCTGGCAGCTGAGGGAGGGAACACTGCACTACAGCACACTCGGGGCTGAACATGGAGCCCAGCTGGGACTCCAGTGCACATTCTGCACCCAGACAGCCAAGCTCTGGTGACTACCTGGTGTCCTACCTGCTCCAAGTTCACCTCACATTGGCGAAACTCCTGAACAGAGCCTCTCTCTGCCAATTAATCTGACCTTATTACCACCATCATCTTACTCCCAAGTCTCTGCATGAGAAAGTCCATGCTCCACGGCCTGGCCCCAAAACTCTTGAGCGCTGGACCTGCCACCTTCTGGTCCAGCCTACAGGTTCCAGGGCACGTTCCTCCATACAGCCAGACAGCATCTCCTACCCCTCACACCTCCTAGTCCTCTTCTGCTCCTAGCCATCCCCTAGAGGTATGCACTCCACCCACCCCTAACCCACAGGGTCTGGCCAGCACCAGTGAGAACAAAGGTCCTGGGAGCAAGGGGCCCCAGGAGGGACAACAACAACTGATGATGAATTATGAATTTCCGAATGGTGAGAAGTAAAGGCCACGGTGGGGAGGGCTTGGGACCGGAGTTATAGCTACTACTGGGAGGAAGATGACCTCCAGGAACGGAATCTTGGCTGCAGGAACTGTCTGTGCAAAGGGTGGGCAAGAGTCAGGCTTCAGTAGATGCTGTGGAGGGCTGTTAGGAGGAAGCCGGACTTTAATCCCAGCACTCGGGAGGCAGAGGCAGGCGGATCTCTGTGAGTTTGAGGACAGCCTGGTCTACAGAGCAAGTTCCAGGACAGCCTCCAAAGCCACAGGGAAACCCTGTCTTGAATAACCAAAAAAAAAAAAAAAAAAAAAAAAAGTTAGGAGGAACAGCATGAGGTTGACCTTGTTCAGAGCCAAGCAAAGTGGTACACGCCTTTAATCCCAGCATTTGGGAGGCAGACACATGTGAGTTCAAAGCCAGCCTGGTCTACATAGTGAGTTTCAGGACAAGTCAGAGCTACATAGGGAGACCCTATCTTGAGAAAACAAACAAACAAACGACAGACAGACTGACTGACCTTGTACAGGAGAAAACGACCTCCTTCCAGATGATCAATATGGAAAGGAGGGGCTAGTGAGTTAGGTGAACTGGTAAAATGCTAGCCTTACAGTGAATGAGAACTTGAGTACAATCTGAAGAAGGAGAAATGGGGGGAGGGAGGGAGGGAGGGAGGGAGGGAGGGAGGGAGGGAGGGAGGGAGGGAGGGAGGGAGGGAGGGAGAGAGAGAGAGAGAGAGAGAGAGAGAGAGAGAGAGAGAGAGAAAATGCACCAAGCATGGCATGGCAGCATATACTTAAAATCTCAGTGTTGGGAAGGCAGAAACAAGCAGATCCCTAGAGCTGACACCAGGCCAGTCTAGCCTACTTGGCAAGGTTCAGGCTAAAGAGAGACCCTATGTATTTAAAAAAAAAAAAAGCCTCCAAATTCACAGTGCGTGTACACGTGTGCCCACAAACTCACACACAATCCCAAAGGCCGCCAGCCCTACCCTTGTAGTCATGGTAGACAGGTGCCACCAAAAGTGACAAGACAGGAGATTGCTCTTACTGCTTAAGGAGAAGCCGGGAGGCCCCAGGGTCCCTCTGTACCAGCCACACCCATCCCCACCTGCCCAGGAGACACAGCCCTGCAGGACCTTTGCCCATGTCTGTGCTGATAACGAAGTCTCAGGCAGTGGGCAGAGGTGCCAGACGGCAGGCTCCGCATGACCCTTGGAGCAGAAAAACAACTGACTCATCCCAGTGATCCTCCATTGTGAGGCTAATCCAAAAGGAAAACTGACTGGGAATGGTTTCCATGACAACAGCTTGAATGGCCTGCAGTATGCACCAGGCCAGCACCCTTCCACCTGCTACCTGGACACAAGGAGGGAGCTGGCCATAGCTCCAAACCTCCCTTCCCTGAGGGTCAGAGGCTGTGGAAAGCATCCACAGAGCATTGCACTCTAGGGCCATCAGGAACGTCTCCAAGACTCCTCTCTTCCCAGGCGTACAGCCGTTCTTGGGGACCTGAATACAGATGGGGCCCTTTTGGCAGAGCCCCTTCATACACTTAAGGTGCAGCGCCATCAAGGAGAGATGGTCAGGTTAGTGCTGACAGTCCCACGAGTCCTGTCCCTAGCCTCCATCCTGGGTCCTTCGATCTGTCCTAGGCTGGTGCCATTGTCCCCAGACTACCTCCACTCCTGCTCACCTCCTGGGGTCTCTGAGGTACACAGCCTGATGCTCTTTCTCATAAGAGTGGGTCCCTTTCCCAGGAAGACACGTCCTGGTCATTATCATGCATCTGGCTTCTTGCTGAAACAGTCAGCCATAAGAATTTTCCCCAGAAATACCTAGGTTGCCATCCCAGGCTGGGGTCAGCAAGGTGTGTGCTCTGTATATGGCAGACTCAAGACCCAGCCAACAGCCTCTCTACAAGACATCCCACAAGCACATGTTCTCCAGAATGTTCTTTCCCACACCTAGAGCAGCTTTGGTAGCTGCCCTGGGCGGAGAGCTCTCTCTAGTGTGCCTGGAATAGAGGGACGGGGTCAGGGATGGGGGCACTGAGCTAACTACTGACCAGGACATCTCTTTACAGAAGAAAAAATAGGAGTGAACAAGACTGTGACAACACCTGGGAAGCCACAGGCATTCGGGCCCCATTTGCTCCAGGAAGAAGGTGCCTGCCTCTTCCTCCTCCTCCTCCTCCTCATTGTTAATTCTTATTTATTTTAAAGAACTTTATCATCATCATCATCGTGTATATGGCTGTTTTGCCTGCATGTATGCCTATGCACTACAAGTGTGCCTGGTGTCCATGGAAGCCAGAAGAGTGCTTTGTATTCCCTGGAACAAGATTCGTAAATATATCCGGGTCCTCTGGAAGAGCAGTCAGTGCTCTTAACCATGGAGCCACCTCTCCCGCCCTCCAGAAGGTGTCATCTTAATGACAACAAATTTATGCTATTGAGGTTACATGGCCTATGCATTTAGAGGCTGGCTCCACCAGCACTTGGGAGGCAGAGGCAGGTGGATCTCTGTGAGTTCGAGACCAGCCTGGTCTGCAGAGCGGAGTTACAGGACAGGCTCCAAAACAATGCAGAGAAACTCTGTCTCACAAACAAACAAACAAACAAACAAACAGCCCCACCTACTTCCTGTTCACTCTTAGCTTCCTACTCCTTCTGACTGGCTGCCACCTCGCCATGCTAGCCCTGCACTATGGACTCTCCCTCTGGAACTGTAAGCGAAAACAAACTCTTCTATAAGTCACTTTGGTCACGGAGCTTTATCACAGCTACAGAAAAGTAACTAACACACTACCCAGCCTGCAACGCTTCCCCACCTTGAGGCAGTCAGGCTACATGTTGGCCCAAGTAACACAGAATAAGGTACCGCAGACCAGAGCTCACACAGTGACTCTGGATATCTCCTGCTGGAGTCATCATCACTCTCCTCATACCTGGCCTGGTACTCCCAGACAGAGTTTGCCAGGGTCCCTGCAAGGTGCCAGCACTGTCCTCTGTGGGACCGGTGGACATTTCTGCCTCAAGGGTCTACACAACTACCCAGGCTCTGATGTCTCCCCAGAGAACCACTGCCTGAGGAGCTGTGGGCACAGGAATTAGATACTTAGGGGCCTCCTAAGGGACAGGAGGCATGAGTGGGGAGTGACGATGCTGGCTGCTTCACTGAGTGCCCACAGTACCTACAGGATGGTGGTGAAGGCCATGTGGACACTTGGTCACTGAGAGGTGGAGGGAGAGCCACCAGCAGGGAACAAGCAGTGGATTCAGGAAGTCAGTACTGGGCCCTGCCTCCGCCACACCCACACGGCTCTGAGCCGTAGTTTCCTGGTTATAGAACAAGGCTGACAGACCGGCCCGGCCCTGAGGGATACAGAGAGGAAATGGGCTCAGGCTGGCTGCTTTTCAGGCTAAGTCCAGGCCATGGGAGTGGGAGCCAGTCGGGGCATACCTTCCTGTCTTGTCTCAGAGCACAGCAGGAACCCAGGGAGTAAGCATATCACATGATAGCAGCGAGCACCTCCAGGACTGAGCGTGGGAGCACTTTCCATCACCGCCCAGCTGCTCCTCCCTGCCAAGCACCCATTTTACAAACCAGAAAACTGAGGCTCCATGAGGCCGGGGAGGGCCATGGCTACAGCCTCAGGCTATGAGAAGACAGAGCTTAGCAAATGACAAGGACTTTATAAAGAGGCCCATGGGGGACAATCCCTGCCCCATTTTCGGACAATCCCTACCCCACTATGGCCACCGCTAGAACATATGCAGGAGGCAACTGTTAGGAAAGTAAACTCCAAGCAAGAGGTCTCCAGGAAGTAGTGAGAGCCATGAGATGCTCTGGGGGCTGAGGCCACCAACCCTGAACACGTGGCAGACTGGAACACTGTCAGCAGGGTGGCTGCTGTGTGACAAGAGTCCCTTTGTCCTGGCCGAGGAAAGGATCTCCAACCTCCAATTACTGCAGATGAAAAGTGCTGGTCCAAGCACCCGTGCCCTAGGGAGGCCCGGGAACAGTCACTGTTTCAGCTGCGTTTCTGCTGATAATATGACTTTGTTTCGTGACTCCTGAGCTGCCTGCCGGAGGAAAGAATCGTCTGTCCACAAAAGAGGGCACATGGGGCAACTCAGCAGTGGCAACAGCAGCAATTGTCACCCCACATGAAAACCTAGGGGTCAGGACCTACAGCTGCTGGGGAAATGGGTAGGGGGAGCAGGGAACATCCCTCGGGCCCATGAGAAATGTCAAGCAAGGCATACACAATATCACATTAAACAATATGGGCTGTTTTTTTTCCCCACAAATGCAGGGCATTGACCCCAGGTGCAACAGAGGGGTCCCATCCTGGGGTCAAAGTGTAGTCACCAGGCAATGCTGGGCACACCTGCCCTGAAGACACAGACCTTATCTGGACTCAGCAGCACTGTGACTACGAGCAGGACATCAAACCCTGAGGTCTGGCCTGCAGCTGAGCACTTGCCCAGGAAACCACAGCTTGACAGAGGCAGAGCCATTTCTACAAATGCCACAGCTCTAAGCTATGTGGCCAAGCTGGCCTCCCCCCAACCCCTTCACAGCCAGGCATCACCCCCTCACTCACTTGGAATCTGTGCACCAATTCCAGGGACTGGCTGTCATTCTGATCAGCCTCGAGGATGACATCCGTCAGCTTGTGGATAATGACGTCCAGGGGGCCCTGCTCCTCAATTGGCCGGCTGAGGTTCAGCTGCAAGGGGGGAACACAGAAGAGCTTCAGTGCCTGAGTGCGCATCTGGGACCCTGGAGCATCGGTAGTACCCCAGAGGGGAGGGGACTGGACCGGCAGAGCAAGAGCACCAGGGCCCACTACTCCTCATCCGCGGTGATTGAGGATGTCTGCATGTAGGTCCCCAAAGGCAAAAAATGGGAGCAGGGGATAACACGCACTGGCTGTATGGAGAAAGCGTTTATTGGACACACCTCAACTGCCCAACCACCTAGGAGAACCACAGCTCAGAGTGGCTAAGAGAAATGACCAGTCAGACAGTCGAAACTCCATCTAAGCACATGCTCCTTCCCTCTAAGGCCTGGGCAGACGGATGCTCTTGGCAAGTCTAGGAGTCAGTGCCTTGAGAGCCCAGACACTTGCATTCCACCCTGAGACGGGGATGTGTCGCTGATGGCAGAGGGGTGCTGGAGCACAGAGCCGCCTGTGATCAGCCGAACGCCGCGTGCACTGCTCCACAGGGGAATGTGTTTGTTTTTTCAAGAACGTGGGGTTGGGAAGGTCAGTCCTCAAGGGAGAATCACCCCAAGCCATGAGCACCTGCCAACAACCGGGGCAGCCTGACACCATGCTTCCTGATGCGCCAGATGTCTGCCGCCAGCGCACAGCCGCCGCCACCTGCAAGGCTAGACTCTTGGAAGCCAGTTGATGCCAGTCTAGCTAGCACCTGGCTGACCCCCCACCAGTCTCGGCCAGGACAGAGAAGGCCATCTCTGACTCACCACCCACCCTCAAGTGCAGCTCCCTCCAGGATTCAGGGCTGGCTGTGCCCATGTGATTTCATGACACAAGACAGCCACAGTCATTCTGAGGAAGACAGCAAGCTAACGACATACATACCTGTCTCCTTTTATTTTATGGGAAAGGATATCACAAACAAAGCAAGTGAGAGCAGACTTCAAAAAAACGTGCCTAGGATCTGGGTGGGTGGGAGAGTTCAGCTTGCATACAAAGACCTAAGACCTGAACTCCCAACCCATCCTTTATTCCAAGCCCACTCTGTCCCCTGTTGTCACAATCTCCAAAACCACAACCACATAGCTGCTGTTCTCTGGCAGATTTGTAGCTAGGGGCCCTGGTGGAAGGGGAAGGAAGGCAGGTCAGGACACGGGTCCCTGTACCTGGTCCTCATGCCACCTTCGGTTCTGGTACTTCTTCATAGCCCATCTCCCAAGGCCACCACTATTTCTGTGGCTCTAGTTACACTTTTGGTTCCCCGTCCCAGCAGGCCTATAGGTGGTGACAATTCCCCACACTTGCTAATACTATGTATTCTGTCTAGTCGGCACCTGAGACTCTGCTCACACCTGTTGCAGATACACCCTTATTTTAATTAACTCTTTTCTGATAAACTTTTGGGATGTGCCAGCTCTTTCCTGTTGTCCTTAACTCCACTTTTTATGGTCTTCCAGGAGGGGTGTTAAAAGGTCACCCCTATTTAAAGGGAAAAAAAAGTACCAGAGACCTCCCAATAAGAAATCATCAAGGACTATGCTTCCCTCCCATGGTGACAAGCTTGTGTACCAAACAAAACAAATACAGCTAAGACACCAGACAAGGAGGGGAAGGGATGCAGCCCAAGTGTCTTATTTGAAACAGGGTCTGGCTGGTCTCAAACTTAAGGTGATCACCCTGACTCTGCCTCCTGGGTGTCTTCTGAGACCTCACAGCAAGGCAAGGAGATGGAGATGACCTTCCTACCTCCTGGAAGCAGACGGAGATCCAGCAGAAATGCCAGTGTCGGCCCCTAGCCCCAGCTCCCCCTGAGGAAACCGAAGGGCCTCTCTCATTCTATATGCTGATCCCACACTACATCTTCATCCAACCCCAACAGGATCTGAAGGGAAGTAAGTGGAGAAGCTACCAGAACAAGAAGAAGCACCCAAGGAACTACGGCCATGCCTTCTGGGTTCCGTGATGGCAGGCACCACAATATTTTCAGACCGTGACAACTATGAAGACAGAACTGCATGCCAAGAGTGACAGTGGGCACATTTCCCAAGTTCAGACAGAACTACCTCACTGGTCCCCATGTCTCCAGTCCTCCCTGGACCAGGTACTGGGGAAGGGGAATAGTGTCAGAGCCTCAACTGGTTACCAGTTAGAGCATGGTTATGCTAATTATTGCTGTTTTAGAGGTCGGGGGTGACTCTTGGGCACTGGAGTTTGCAGGGACAGAAACCAGTCAGAGAAAAGCCAGGGATCCTCTGAGGATCAGGCCAAGGAGGTGGGCATCAGCATGAGGACTGTAGACCTGACAACCAGGGGCTGTTTGGAAAATAAGCTCCCTGTGTTCCTGGCTGCTCTGCAAAAGGTAAACAGTTGAGTCTGGAAGCCAGCCACCTTCCTTTGTGTATTTTCCAAGCAATTTTATGCCAGTAAAGCCTTTTCACAAGAACAGCAATTTGGGGCACGCATCAGGCCTGGTGCGGTTCCATTCTGCAGCATGGCATGCCCCGTTCCCTTTGACAGGGTTTCTCTTTGTAGCCCTGGCTGTCCAGGAATTCTCTATGTAGACCAGGATGGCCTTGAACTCACAGAGATCTGCCTGTCGCTGCCTCCAAAGCCACCACACTGAGCTATCTTTCCTTCTTTTGTACTTCAAGCTGCTCTTGAACTTGCAGCTATCCTCCTGATTCTACCTTCTGAGTGCCGTGGTATCAAGCATGCGCCACCATAGCTGGCCTTGCAGCAGCATTTCTGAGCTGCAAATGGGCCTTCCTGCTTCTCCTCGAGTGGCCAGAGAAGCCACCAGCATTCTCAAGGGACGCTGTCCCTGAAAGAACCTCACAGAAGTCTGTCTCCCCACTGCCTGGGAGGCCTGAACAGTGAGTGCACGGTGGGAGTGAGCACTACAGGGGGGATGATACAAAGGAGAGGGCCCCTGGCAGGGAGGACATCATGGGGGAGGGAACCTTCCAAGGAGTGGCAGCACGGAGGTGACGCTTCAGAAAACGGCACAGCAGATGCCCAGCCTCCTAGACAGGGTGAGGGTAGGACTCGGGGATAAAGAACTCAATGTGTGTTCACCATTCTGTTTCTCTGACAGCTTGGCTCCCAGAACATTCCAGGAGACTTCCTGTTCTCCCTCGGAAGGGGCATGATCTGCCCCTCTCTGTGAGCGTTAAGGGCATCTTGATGAAAAGCCTGACCATGGGTGCTCCCCTTCCAAGTCTCGCTGTCTTGTGAGGCCAGCACTGGACGTGGTTCCCTGCAGCACACAGGGTTCTGAATTCAGAGAGAACAAAGGACCACTGTTTCCCTAGTTGACAAGGGCAGTGAGGCTCACGAGGGGGTGGACAGAGCTGGGACAAAGTTGGCAAACCCCAGTGGCCCTCGAGTCACCTCTGACTCCCAAAACAGTAATAATTAACATAATCATACCCTACCTGGTAACCAAGCGAGGTCCTGACACTACACAGGGAACCAGCCAGAGGTGTGAGCAAGGCCGGGAAGCCCACCTAACCCTATGATCATCTAACTATAGCTTCAGTTTCTCCATTCATAATACAAGCAAGCTTTCAACTTTCCACACGCTGTCCAAGGCGGTGGCTCTCAATTCGGCTTGCAGCAAACGGGAAGAATTCATAGGTCCCTCATCTCACCCACACCCACAGGACCACCCGCTGACTTCCCATTGCTTCCCCAGGGCAACTCTCTTTACTACAAAACATGTCCCCGCACCTGGCCATGGAGACACAGGGCCGCTAAGCAAAATAACTTCAAACGCTACAGCTGAGGCTGGAGTGGGACTAAGACTAAGCCACAGGGACTGGCCTTCGTGGCTCCACCTTCTCAGAACTTCAACTACCTAAAGAAACCTCACTGCCCTGCAGTACACACAGCTGCTGCATGCATGATCACATTCTACTCGTTACATGCAGAGATCACACTCGGTTAAAGATCAGCTGCTTACTGTCTGTATTATGACCGACATAAAACCCCCCCAAGCCTCTGGTAGGAGCATGGCAAAGAACTCAGCACGGGGCAGGACTTGAATTCTACAGAGCCAGGGTCCGAGCACTGGCTCATATTAACATCCTTAAAGAGTATGCTGCCACACCTCAGCTCTCTGTGGTTGCCAATGACAACTGTCACCCACAAGGTGCTGACGGGAAGCAACACGTTGCGTTCCTAACAAGCACTGAGCATATGGAGACACTGAGCAGATGAAGACACTGAGTCACACAGAGGTCCAGCGCCACGCCCAAGGGCATAGAGCTTCACGTCGTGGAAACATAGGGTTCTCTCTTGCTGAGGCCCGGCTTCTGTTCACGCCAAAGGGTGTGCCAGGTACCTGGGGTTTCTTCTACCTCTCCTCCCTGCTTGCAGCCCAGGAGTGGTGTGTTTTCAGCTGTGACTTCAAATGGGATCCACCACATCAAAAGTTTTGTCTTAAGTAAGCGCTGAGTGGGACAAATGGCCCAAGGGCCTGATGTGTATCTCCATGCTCTCAGAGAGTCCTGGGATCTGGCAGAAGAGTCAACCCTGAGGTTGCAGTCTAGCAGACAGAGGTGGGTCTCTCAACCTGGGCCTTTCATGGATAGGCCCCAAAGGCAGTAGGGTCTCCCTGGGTGTTTGATTCCAAAAGCAGCCTGAGGGAGGACATGGGCACTCCTGAATAAGCACCAGAGGAGTGTCATGTGTCCCTCAGTCAGGAGCTTGAGTCTGGCTACCCACACCTGTAAACTAAGCCAAGTGAGATATTGATCATCCCAATGGCCTCTGCCCCAGATCAAAGAGGCAGGCTGGTGTCTGTATTCCCTGACACAGTTCCCCAATGACTAGGACAATGGGAAGTAGCAGCAATTCAATTAAGGCAGAAGAGTAGACAACACTTTACCCCAAAGGAGGGCTAACAACTAATGAGCCAGACAAGCACAGCGCCTCCTGGCACTAACATGTGAGGAACTGAGTCTACCGCAGGTAACCGGTGAAGCCTAGCTTGTTAGGCCTGCCAGAGTCCATGCTCTGAACCTAACATCTCCAGCAACACTCTGAGAGATACAGAGCTATCAGGCAGCATGGCTCCTTAAGAATGGTATTGAGGGGCTACAGAGATGACTCAGTAGTTAAGAGCATTGGCTGCTCTTCCAGAGGACCTGGGTTCAACTCCCAGCACCCACATGGATGCTCACAACTGTCTGAAACTCCAGTTCCAGGGGACCTGACACCCACCCACAGACAAGCATCAATGTCATATGCAGACAAATGCCAATGCCATCAAAATAAAAAAATAATTAATCAATTAATAATGACTGTGAAAAAGAACTGCATTGAACATCTTCATTTCCGACAGGGCAGTTATATCATCATACAATATGACATACACAGGCTATCTTTTTAAAAAATGGAATATAACTCCTTTTCTCATTTTTATTGTTTTTTTTCTGAGAATTTTACACAATGTATTTTGATCATATCCACACAACCAGACACTCCTCCCAGATCCATCCCTAATTCCTACCCACCCAACTTTATATCCTTTCTTGTTTTTAACCCAGAAAATACAGTCGGTGCTGCCCATAGGCTCTTGACTGTGTGACCTTCCACTGAAGCCTGACCAGCCAACCACAGGCCACACGCTTCTCCCAACAGCCATCAATTGCCAATAGCTACGGGTGCACCTTGAGCCTAACTCCGCTCCCCAAGCTAGGATTTTATATGACTTGTACCAGCTGAGTGCCAGCCAGAGGAAGAACTTGTCTTTTGTGAAGGGATTCCATACAGTTCTAACCAACAACTTGTCAGGCCGGCTTGTAAGAGACACTGTGGCCAAGACAATGATGGCTGGAACCACACCTTGGCCAGGACTGCTCAGTTATGCAAACTTCTTACCCGATATTTAAACCTGAACCTCAGGTCAGGACCCTGGAGATGGACTTCGGAGGTGGGCAGGAATGGTCACTGGAGCTCTTTCTTCTCTTCCCCATGTGGCCACAAAGAATAAATCTCCCTCTACTTTCACTATTGCTCCTCGTCTCATCGGTAGGTGGGTGGGCAAACCCAGCTTTCTGGGAAACTAGAGTCTGGACTCTGATCCCGAATGCTCCAATAACATCACAGTCCCTAACACATTCAAATCTGCAGATGGAGGGAGGAAAATAGCATTGAGCAGCAGGGGAAGATGGCTCAGTCTGAAGAGTGCCGGTTACAGCAATATGCCAACCTGAGTTCAAATCCCCAGGCTACCACTGCTTCATAAAATTCTACTCAGGAGGATCTCTCCACCTGGGTTGGTTAACCAGCAAACACCAGGGATCCACTTATCTCTCTGCACACACACACACACACACACACACACACACACACACACACACACACGGGAAGGGGGGAGATATTTGGAAGTCACTAAGATGGCAGCAAAGACATCCCAGTGGAGACCTTTGCTGTGGAAACTGAGGAAACAGGAAGGGTGACCTGGGGGGAGGATGACAAAGCTGTGCTTTCCAAGACACAGAACAGCACAGCACCCTTGGCTGGATGGCAACAAGAGTCAATGACCTCTGGCTAGTAACTGTGGAGTATGTGGTCCGTGTCCCCCATGCGGGAAGAGATTTTCTCTCTTTCCTGATGGCCCTGTGACAGGTGAAAGGAGTATGTGGGGGGGGGGGGAGGGGAGGGGTCGTCACCGTTTCAGGCCCCAGGACTTCATGTCACCTGACAAACCAGAACCTCACATCAACTTGGCTGATATGGGAGGTTTCTCTACTCCATTTCTTCACTTATTGAGACAAAGGACATGTTAAATACTACTAAATGCACCCCAGTGGGGTTCGGACGGGCTTTTTCAAGCTATAGTTTTATAGTTTTGAATCTACATAGAATACAAGCAACAGAAATTTATTCTGCAAGGGAAGAACACTTCCTGATATTTTAGAATTATTAGGCGGAAACCCTGAACAAGCCACGCATGAACCTATCTGTTCTCCAGCATCCAGGAAAGCCTCAGAGGTCCCCTCCATCTACCCACAAGTCCCTCGGTGGCAGCCACTTTGGCCAAGTGGACTGTTCATTGATGTTGTTACTACACACGGTGGTGCCCCAGGGCTCAAGACAACATGGTGGAAACTAAAAACCCTCTCTCTGTCACCAGGCAGTCTCTTCCGGTCCTAAGGAGAGGCACACTTCACACACAAGCTGGCAAATAAAGATAGACAAGATCTGTACCGCAGGGGAGTCACAGGCTACACCCCAAAGTCTGGCTGCCCTCTCACTGCATGCTGGGAAATGGGGACTGGAGAAAGAGGATCCCAGGGTCCTCTTGCCCCAGCTCCCTAACAATTATCTTCCTCCTGAGTCACCCTAAGATAGATGACTTTTGCCAAATGTTAACGGGCTAAATGTTATTAACTGTAGTTCTTACTCGATAACAGCTTTGTTATATATAATTTTACTATATTAAAGTTAAAACCCTTCTTTTTATTTAGACAGAAAAGAGGGGATGATGGGGGATGTCCACCTGTATATATGTTTCTCTTATTGGCTGATGAATAAAACAGTTTGGCCAATAGAGGCAGAAAGATAGGCAGGACTAGGAGACAAGGAGAATTCTGGAAAAGGTAGGTAGAAAGGAAGCCATGTAGACCACCAAGGAGTAACAGGTCTGGACCATTCTTTGGTAAGTCAAGACAACACGGAAATACATAGGTTAATAGAAATGGGCTAATAATTAAGACAGAACTAGCCAATAAGAAGCTCTAGCCATCAGCCAACAGTTTAATAACTAATATAGCATCCTTGTGTTCATCTGGGGCTGAAGAAGCTGTGAGACCTGACTCCAGCAACACCACCCCAGGCATGAGGTGGTCCCTCCCAAGCAGAGGGGCAGCAAAAGATCAGAGAGCGGGGCTGAGTGTCTGGAAGCACAGGCCTAGGGAGAGAGCATCCTTCACCCTCAGACTGGTTTCCTCGCCTGCAAAGCAAAGACAAGGAAACACCCTTCCATAGGCTACACCAGAGCCCAGACAGGAGGCAATCCCGCCGAGCAGGGACAGCCCACAGCACAGATGTCAGCAGCGGAGATTTCAGCTGAGATCACATGAGGCTAGATTTTCCCTAGCTCCTATTTAATTCTTGTTGGCTGTCCGCCAGGATGATCCAAGCAATCCCTTCCCCAGAACCATGGGAGCCTAAGCCCCATACCAGGTGTGGAACTGAGCAAATCACACATATTATTATTCCCCCTAATCTCCCAGTCTGGAGCAGCTGAGGTCTGGTGACCATTTACATGTGAGGCAAAGAAGATTCCAGAAGGCCAAACAATAAGCGGAGACTGGGTGGCCAGTAAGTAAGGGGAGTGGCCACACTCTAGCTCTGTCCCTGTGTTCCAAGGCGCAGCCCCCCCCCCACCCCACCCCCAGGATTTCTCTGTGGCTTCGGAGCCTGTCCTGGAACTAGCTTTTGTAGACCAGGCTGGTCTTGAACTCACAGAGATCTGCCTGCCTCTGCCTGCCGAGTGTTGGGATTAAAGGCGTGCACCACCACTGCCAGGCTCTGAGGCACAGTTTCAAAGGCCCTCTAATTTCCTCAGAAGGATGTTAGCTAGACACTTTTCCTGGGAAGGACCAGCAGTGACAATGTAGCCCAAAATTATGTCCGAGGTAGTTCTTGCCTACTTGCAGGAGAGTGTCTGCCTGGCCATCTCAGCCACGGGGTCTGTCTTCCTCTGAAACTCCAGCAGGAAGAACTAAACTCTCCAGCAAAGTGTCATTTCCCAATCCCTCATCAGGAAGCACGGGTCCCCCCCCAAGCCCCCAACCTATGGAAGCATCCCAATGCATGCACAGCACTGGGACTCGGGGTGTCTCCATCCTGCTAGCAAGCCAACACACAGGACATTATTATTTATAATCACCCAAAATTAATATATCAAATCCATCAAGAAGGGATATCAAGCTGCCATAGGACGCTTAGGAAGTGACCCAGTATAGTATGCTGTGGAGTGTAGGAGCAGAGAGAGACTATAGACATCTACCTACCTATGCCCACAGCACCTCAGTGCACTCCAAGGGACTGATGTAAGTGATCATTTCCCCCGGGGGGATAACAGGAGTCTCTATGAAGCCAGGTGAGATCAGTCTTCTCACACTATACTATGCTACTTGGGAGTTTCAAGCCAGTGCAGTTTCTGCCTTGTTTGACTTTAAGTTACCAGTGCAGACAACAGGAGTAGAAGCAAAAAGACCTGGGTTCAAATCTAGCCAGCAGCTAATATCCATTGAGCACTTGCTATATACCAGGCCTACCTGTAAGCACTGCACATGGATTATTGCATTCATGGGGGTAGGGGGTCCTCTCACTGGGATCCCATGACAGTGGTGGCCTTTTGGATCCCGGTAACTGGGGCTGTGATTGATGAAGGAGGGCAGGCAGCGGTAGGCAGTGACCTTCAGCCCATCTAAGCCTGTCTGATGGAGCCTTGGCATCTGCTCCCACATTCCTCATTGAACAAGGCAACGTCAGAAAAGCTTCAGCAACAGCCAGAGCGGAGCAGGCTCTCAGGAGCCCCCGCCCCATCCCCCGTGGAAGGTGCCAGCGAGTATCCTGGAGCTCCTCTGCTCTCCATTCCTCTAACACTTCATTAGTCTCCGTTCTTGGGGGAGCTACCAGTTCCAATGACAAACAGAAAGTGTCAGATTCAGGTTCAGGGCTTGGGCATGATGCCAGCCCCCAGGAACCCTACCAGCCTCCTACCTCAGAGGAACTGACACAGTCTAGCCTGGCCAATCATGCCCACTGTGAGCTGTAAAAAGACTTCTTGGCCTGTCTCTGAGACCTCTCCAAAGTATCCTGTTCCTCCCTTCAGCCTGGCAATGTCTGCTTGTACCAGGGCAGCAAACGTGTGCTGAATGAGTACCTGGGGACAGGAGAGATTTACAACATCGGCCCAACCGTTCATCATGCTACCCACCGCTCCAAACAAATGTTACCCTATCTTGCACTGAAAAAAAAGGAAGCGCGAAAGGAATTAGGCCAGTCATAGAAGAGACAGGCCACAAACCCTCACCCACTACCTTCCTTACAGCCATACCTTCTGGCCTATATTCTCTCCGTAATACTCCCAGATCTGGACCTCCATGCTGGGCTTGTGGGGGGAGGAGGGGGAGCACTTCTCTGTGGGTCCCACCAGAGAAGTATCCAGTTAACAAACTCTGCAAGTCCAAATGACTCAGACATAAGTTGCAGACACTGACCTAGCAGGAGAAGAAAATCCCAAGATCTTCTGTGCTCTAGAGCAAGCAAGGGCACTGGAGTCACCTGGTTCCGGCCCCACAACAATCCTTAGGAAGGAGACAAGGCCATGGGGTGTTGGAGAGGCCTAGAGACTTCCTACAGCTTTGTTCACTGCCACAGCAGCAGCCATGATCCTGGAAACTAAAGGAGTCTTGGCTCCCAAAGACACAACAGAAGAGGCAGAGGAAGCCACCATCGATGCAGCCTGCTGACCTAAGTCTTGTCACTCCAAGCAAGCCGTGAATATCTGGGAACCCTCCTCTCAGTAGCTATCTGGAAGACTGGACAGTCCTACACACAAACAGGAAAGGAAAACAGAGGAAGTACCCACCAGTCCTTGAGGCAGCTCCCTCGCCATATCTGATGGTCACAAAGTGAACACACGGGTCGTGGTGAGGCATGCATTTATGAGGTCCTGGACAGATAAACTTAGAATGGACCATATAAACAGAGCCATACAACACTGCCACCTTCCCTGCATTTTCCACTGTGAGGCCAGGATAGAATGCCCAGACCCCAAAAGTCCTCCCAGAGGCAAACTGCAATCCTTCCATTTAATTGCCCATCATCCTTGGCAGCCTCAGACAAACCACACTGGTCCTAGCTCACTAGGAAGTGCATGCAGGGACTAAGGTCAAGGGGACACCCCATGCGAAAGGGCACGTTTGTTCTCGGCAAAGCAGACTGGAGAATGCACACAGTAATAAGCTGGAAGGGTGGTGTGTGCCCAC